TATGATATTCTTGACTATCAAATTTGTAGACAAAGCCGAATCGATCACTAATGCACTTTACTCCTAGTCGAGATGTTCTCTTGCGCCCATCAGAGATGCCCATGGAATGTCATGCGAAGGCCACCAAGGGAAAACACAGTAGGGCGAACAATGGTGAGACAACAAGGCATTGGACAACAAGCAGTTGCAAGGCACATAGGGTGGAGGAAATGGGGGAGGCGGGTGGGCAAACAAACAACACAAAAAAGCAAAGGAAAAGGCACATAGTACAGGTACTATGTTGAAAAACCAAAAAAACGCAATGGGGCGAACAATGGTGAGACAACAAGGCATTGGACAACAAGCAGTTGCAAGGCATATAGGGTGGAGGAAATGGGGGAGGTGGGTGGGCAAACAAACAACACAAAAAAAAGCAAGGGAAAAGACACATAGTACAAGTACTACGTTGAAAAACCAAAGAGCGAAAAAAAATACAAATTGATGATGACAGACTGTTTCGTCGTCGGAGTTGCACCGAGTCATCAGCTGGCTGAACCCTCGACAATCTGCAGAATCTCCATGTTTGATGGTTTGGGAACTTTGGGTTATGAACCCTTTGACCCTCGTTGAAGGCAAACTGTCCCCAAGCGGAACATAGCAGCGGGCAGCAACCCTGTGGAACACCAAGCAACACAGTAGAGGCAACACGGCTGCACAACGCCAAAAACGACTGCAAGGAACGACATGGCACGCAGGACATGCAACCATGTGGTGAAGCATAAGGCAACACAAGCAGGGCAACCACATTCCAAGGGATGACAGGGCGAGAGGACCAGCAACTCGGCAACCGTGGAGCGGAGCACAAGGCACCAGCAACAAGGCAACCAACCTACAGGGCACACAAGCAGCAAACACGGAAGGCACGACCAACGGATGAGCAGCACGGCAGCGAAGCGCAAGGCAACACCAACAACACGACCACACCACGCAGCGAACACAACAATTCGCAGAGAGCCACACGTGAAGCAAGCGGGACAGGCAGCAGGGCAGAGGCGGAGCGCAGATGAGGACGTCCACACATCCAACACGGAGCAAAGCAGCACATGACCTACTCACATCACAATTGAACCCCGCAGACTGTTGGTTCCCACCACCCACTGAGCCAGGGAGTCACTCCGACAAACATCCCTCATCACCTACAGGCAACATAGACAGCCCCAACCGAGCGGCCCCCATAAGAGTGCAGTAGGCACTCCAAATGAGGAACCACCGACTGTTTGGCACTACTTAAGGGTGCTCACATGGGTAAGCAAAAATACTTAAAAAAAGATCTCAGGGAGGACAGACAACAAGTGGAAAACAGACAAACATAAAACTGATTGTGAATATCTTTCTCGGTCTTTTGGCTAAGATCAAGTGTAGAATGTGTTCTGATTAGTTTAATATCTGATCCGTGGTCCATCGGACCACACGATATTAAATTAATTTTTCTGGGCTACGGAGGGGACGTACGGGTAAGCTTGCGTGCTCGACCCCTTCAGTGTTGCCTCTGTATTGCACTGCAGCAAAGTGCGGCGC